AATTTTACTAGGCCACCAACTATCTATAAAAAGGATGATATATTACATTTATCATATTTTGAAAGTTGTTTTTGTCCTCCTAGATAGCGATAGGCCCCACTGTGGGTTGGCCTAGTAACAGTATTTACTCATATTGTACTGAACCCAAGTGGTAACAGGTAAATAAATTAACTGCTAGCAATTTCTACTCTAACCTTCGCATTTTCTCTAAATGAAAGAAAGCTTTCGACATTTCATATAATAAAGAGCTCGAGGTAGCTAAGATCAACGCTTAAGATTACTAGAGAATTTAGTCTTATATTACTCATCCTATTCCTCAGTTCAAACGAAAAACCTTTCCCTTCCACAATATAAATCACTTGTTTATTGTTTATTCTCTTGACAAACCAAAGAAATCGAGCCTGAAGAGTATGGCAGATGTCGTTTTTTTTTTTATCTCATACATTAGAGAGCTTTTTAATGCAGGCCAAAATAGGATCCATTTCAAAGCACAGAGCGTACATCACAAGGAGAGCTTGTTGTCCAGATAGAGATAGAAATAAATCTCAACATATGGCATGCTCTGAGGGGGAAATGATAAATAATACATTTGCTGGCCCCAGTGAATATATTTCTTGTCAGTATAGTATTTATTGGTACAGGATGAAAAGTTTATGAAATGTCTACTAATGTTTTTCTATTATATAAAATATTAATATTTTAAATATATCTTTTGAATATATTCACAGACACATTATAGAGTTTGAAAGAGAATGAATAATTAATTAGAAGATCAGTAAATATAAATAGAAAATTATACTGAAGCCGTTACAAGAATTCTTTCTTAATTTTTATATATTTAATTTTATTTAGAATATTTGTAACGACACTCATATTTTAAACAAATGTAAAAACACGATGTGCAGATTTTCATAGAAGATATTTGCAAAATCAATACATTTTGCTTTCATCATGATATCATTAAAAAAACAACGAAAACCTAACTTAAGACATTATTTGAAGTTACAAGGGGGGTATTCCCTGTCCCATTTTACAATTTATACAACTGTTCATTTAATTGTACTACTCGTTGCTCAAATTGAATAACTATAATATTATTATAATATGATAATTAATGTGTTGTTATCAAGATTGAAAAATCATTGCTGTTACCTAGGTAAAATCAAATATCCACCTCCAGATGAATAAATACCATTTCCTCTACCTCACTGTAACGCCCTACGCTTCTAATACTAAAATAAAATAAAATACGACATACACTAAATTTGTTTTTATATAATAGAGATATTAACACTGAACTTCAATTGAGTACTTAATCACGCTTTCCAGAAGTTAAAGAACATAATCTTTACAGAATTCCTACCACAATCTTATTGTAAGTTAATTCGACTTATACTTTAGAAATTTTTCACAGACAGAAGAAAATAATTCACAGGATCTGAACACAATCTAATCTCACCATCACGATTAGCGTTTAAAAACAGCCCTTCTTAAAGTATTTGGCCACTATTTCTATAAAAATTTCTCTTTATAAACCAGTAAAAGTTTATGCTAATTTTAATAGTCTCAACTTCCAACAAAATATCTCAGTGTAAATTCTCATCGTGAGGTAACGTTGAATGGTGTACAAATAAAATAAATTAAATGAATTCAAAGCATCTGTACCTCACGAAAATAAGCTTTTCAACCACTCAGGAACTAAAACAATTTAAAATAGACAAAATCCTTTGATTCAACTATGTCTCCCGACATGAACGTGGAAAACAAGGATGATGTTACAAATGAAATTACAAACAGTAGCAGAAAACTGATAAAGAGATCAATACGTTAAATACTAAGGGTGGGTTGTGAAGGGCTCAATGGGGGGGGGAGTGGGAGGAGGGGAGGTAAGATGTTTACAAGAGATGGCAACTGGGTCAAGGGCATATCGCTGGATCTTATTAGGGCACCTTTCCGAGGAGCAAACACCAAACCACACCGATATTTGAGTCTTCGGTATTGCTTTATATATATTAGTGGAGGGCCTCCACCGATATATATATATATATATATATATATATATATATATATATATATACTATATATTGATAAAAATTTATTACTTCATAACTTTTTGTGTTCTTTAAATTTTTTTTTAAATGTTTAAAAATATATGTATACATATATTTTTTTGACGTTGTTATAAAGTTTCAACCGGTACAATTGTGTCCAACTGTGAGTAAGGATTGATGGAACTTCATTTTGGAATTTCATATAGCAAAGTCAAAAGTTAACATGTAAAAATGTTTTGAGATATATACAATGATACAGTATATGGTACGTCTCGGGGCGAAATATTATTTAAAATATTTTAAATACTAAGTTAAAAAAAAATACGAAATGCGATTTATACACCAGTTAAACTGATCACAAGAATTTTAATGTGCGTGATTCAATATTTAAATGAATACCTGAAACTGAATGTCCTACTTACTACAGTTTGCTTCCTAAACACTTCTACACATAATATGTAATATGTTATTTGAAAACATATTACATATTATATTATGCTCTTAGTTTTTCTTTCTGCCTTTTTATTATTACATAATTATAGCTATTTCTCCTATTTTTCAACTGTCACAAATACTTCTAGATCAAAGACCTATTCCTTCTCATTTCCCTACTTCTATTATGTCAGTAGCTTACTTCCAGGATGAACCTTAATAGATGCTCTTTAGGAATTTAGCTAAGTATCGATTACCCATTAAAACATCCGATGAATCCGTTGATGCAATTATTTTTTCAAATATGAATCTAAAGATTAATTTTTTTTTTAAACGAATCTAAATATTATAATAAAGTTTATTCGGCTTTTTTTTAAAGAACATTATGATGATGATAGGATAAAGTACTTTAAAAAAATCATCGAAACCTTTTTAACCCTTTTATTCGAATGAATATTAAAATGTGGTATTTAAGGAAAATAGAGGAGAAAACAAGAAGAGATCGCTTGAGGAACGTGACCATAAGAACAAATCTGGACTGAGGCCTGCAGAGGAAATAATCCAAGAGAACCAACTCAGGTTGTTTGGACATGTCTCGTGAATGGCTGAAAACAGAATTTTCAGAGCTACCTGCGAAATCAGAGTGGACGGAAGGCGGCCACAGGGAAGACCAAGAAGATGGGAAGAAGGAATCAAAGAAGTCTTTGACAGAAGGGGAATGGACCGGAGGAGGAGAAGGCAGCTGAGGAAAGAGATTTTTGGATCAAGTTCAATAAGAAGGAACCTCAAACTGCCCAGCGGTAACAAAGAGGACTGGATTAAGTAAGTAAGTACGTAAGAAAATTAAAATTAAATTTAACTAATAGTACCATTATTGTAAAAAAAGAGTAAAAGTAACTCTCTTCCTCTTTCCCTCTCCTGAATCATACACCATTTTTATCTCGAAAACCAATCAAATATATTTTGTTCCAAAAAGTGCCTGGAAGTTTTTATGTTTTTTAGTCACTATTAAAATGACCAAAGATTTTCAGAATTATGAGCTACAGATAAAATAATTGATAACAAGAAGAAATAATTCTTATAAGAAGAAATTACAAAAATATAATATAGGATTGTATATTTTTCTTTACTTGAATCTAGAATGAACTTTGACTGAAATGACAGATGACCTTTATCACACCATTCCTACCTCTTCTGTCTTTCTAGTGCTTAGTTCTTAAACATTTATTCTATCTCTAAAACTAAAGATGATAAAGTCACTAAACTGAAGCAGAGAGAAGTAAAGTGGGAAACAGGAAAATGACAAGAAGCAGCAAATAAAGAGGGATTCAGTTTGCTTTGCCCTTCCAGCAAGGCACTAATGATCAAAGCTGAAAAGAGGAGAAACTAACTTGTTACAGCTAGACGTTTAAACTCGCAAATTGCCAAGCATTATTACGAATTCTCCTTCGTCGCACAAGGAAAAAATTTACCTCGACCGTAAGTGAAAAGGGCGCAAAGCTAACTTAAAGAACTCAAATACAACCCGAAAACTATGAAGAAGGAATGGAACTATATAATTCGTAATACACACTATTTTTTACCATAATATTAAAATCTGCTTGAAACTTCGTGAAGAGATATGAAGTAAATCTTATTGTAACCTAAAACTTCTTTATCAACGAAGATGATCAGAAACAGGGCGTTTTCGCTTTCAATTAATTAATTGAATAAGGGAATAAATACTTATGCTAATAAATAATTATACTTATCCATTTGTTATTCACTTCAATTGGAGTGCTACCAATGGGTAGTTTCTCCTCATGTTGTACATGTCATATTACTTGTTCATATTTACTTGTTGTATTTATTATTAATTAAAGTTGTAAATTTCGTTAATAAAAAAAAAAAAAAAACGTTATTCATATGAATCGTAAGTTAAATTGATAAAAAAAAAAAAGTATATATAAAAAAATGTAGAGCCGTTTGGCCTATTACATATCTAAGTTATTTTGGCATGTTGGGAGTGAAGGTCCCAAGGCAAATGGGACATATGTATCAATCTCCACTGAGTCGATTGAAAACGTTCAATATTCCAAAATTTTCTAAAATAAAAAAATTGTAGATTATTGTAAAATGAAACCATTCAGAATTGATGGATGTTAACAATTTGATAAAAATGGGTCTGTCTCGCGGATTAAAAAAATCAAAATTAATAATATAACATAGGTTACTCAATACAACTATTTTAATTAGAATACAAATTTAGAAAAAACATATCGTGGGCACTATGTTAAAGTAACGAATGTGAGCCTGTTTAACGTAACACTTTCGTTACTTTAACATGGTGCCGACTATTTGTAAGATTTATTAGATATACACAAAAAAGAAGAATCCTTACATTCACGATTATATTTTAGTATTCTTGAAAGATAAAAATTATTTGAAAGCTTAATGGATAAAGAAAACAAGCTAGAAATTATACCATAAAACTTTTACTTGATTAAATATATGTTTTTTTATATAATATAATCCCACCTTGAGGGCAGGACTGCCTGGCGATATTAAGGATATTTGAGAGGGAGGTGAGAGCTGGCAGGGGGACAGAGCAGAAATAGACCGCCGGGAATGCGACAGATATCAAAGATCCTGCAGGAATTTCATCCAGGTCATAACTCATCTCCTCCACATCCCACCAGCACTCTTTTATGGCCTCATTTCTCCGTCATGACCCCCCTGTCATTTCTTGATGGCTCCAGATGGTCGTTGTAAACTTCAAGAAATGTCTGACGGAAACTAATAAAAAATATCACCACATAAAGTAATTAGTACAGGGAACAAGTGGTGGAAAAATAGAAGTTGACCGAACCATACGAACTACATTCGGGTAATCCTGAGGAACATATCCAGATACGTAGATATCCTGAAACGTACGTTGTAATAAATTAGAACGTAGCCATTATAAATACATATCTCAGCATCTTATTAACAACTAGTACCTAAAAGAATGAAGAATCTCGGCAGTACTTTCCACCGCAGCGAATGACAGCGACTGCTGAGCAGTTGAGCACTACTTTCAGAAAATACAACACCTAGATTTATAACTTAAATTTAAATAATGCGGTTATTATTAAAATAAGATCAAAACTCCCCTACTACTGTATACATTTCTATCTTTGCTGTAAAAATGAAAATCATTAAATTTAAACGTAATGTTTTCATTCTAAAATATTTTAAGCTAAGATGTTTAATGCGAGAAGAATTGCGGAGTTTCAGCGAAATGTGAAAGCAGAAACGGTTGACAATGCCAGTGATAGTATAATAGTATCTTAATATTGATCATCATCATCTGTGGCAAGACATCCCGTTACCGAGACTGGGCCTCCTCCAAGAGCCTCCGCCAGTTGGCTTCTGCTGCAGCTCTCCAGTTCCGTAAACCAAGCAGGGTCCTCGCATCATAAGCCACGTTGTCCAACCACCTCGTCCTCGGCCTTCCTACCCATCTTGCGAGGTGCAGCTCCTCCATCATTATTTTCTTGGGTATCTCAACGGTGCTCATTCTGGCCACATGCCCTGCCCACCTTAATCTGGCCAATTTAATATAGGTGACTACGTCGATGTCTGTATGAAGAGAACTGAGATCCCTATTTTCTTTTCTTCCAGACATCACCCTCCTTTACTGGACCATAGATCCTTCTGAGAACTCCTCGCTCAAACACACTCAGCTTCATCTCATCGTTTTTAGTCATCGTCCAAGCCTCTGAGTCATATGTCAAAACAGGACGTACAAGGGTCTTGTATATGATCAGCTTGGTCTTCTTTGAGAGATACCTACTTCTTAAGTGGCGGCTAAGTCCAAAGACACATCTATTGGCAGCCGTGATCCTTCTCTGTATTTCTTGAGCCATGTCATTTTTGCTATTAATTTCAGACCCAAGGTATATAAAACTTTTTACTCTCTCAAACTTAAAAGAACCTACCTCAAATGGAGAGTTCAGATCCACCTCACCACCAACTCTCATATACTTAGTTTTCCTCTCGTTGACTTCTAGACCAAGTGGTCTTGCAGCTGCTTCAAGGCCTATAAACGCTTAATATTGATATATGTATGATAATTTTATGTTATATGATTGCATTCATCAATCATTATTACCTAAAAAAAAACTTGCTATTTTTGTTTTTCCAAACCGTTTTTCATTTTTGAAACTTGGTAAGAAATATTCTCAGTCAGTCGATTATTTTACATATACAAATCCATAAATAAAAGCACACAGCCGGACACATAATAACTGTTACTTTATAATTATTGTTATTTAATACATATATAAATAATTTTTAAAAATTATTTATATTTAGAGCATTTATTCTTTTTGACTTTTGACAGATTTATATGTTAGTAAAACCTATTTAAAACTAAATTAACACTTATGTTTCTACGAAAAAAATATTCAATTAATGTCATTCAATATTCACATTATTTTGAATAAAAAATCCTTATTTTTGTTTCATTATAATTTATTATTTATCTTATTATTAATAATATTAATGCTTATTATTTATTTTGTATCACTTGTATTTTTAATTTTTTTAAATTACTTAAATTTAGCACTAATTGATCTTGCCTTATGACAGTATTGTCTGCCTATAAAAAAGTATTTAAAACAAAATTAAAGATTCATAATTGTGGGTAAATGGTTGAATGTCGTGAATAATGAAGAGAAGAATAGTTGGGGTGATCAGTCAAATAAGAAGGCAAAAATAAATGATATTTATCACCCCAACTATTCTTCTCTTCAAAATTAAAGATTGTTTATTCAAAATCATGAAGTAATTAAATATTAATCTCCTAGTCAGAACATTTAAAACTTTGTAATATATTTATGGATTAATTTTAAACAATTCAAGTTCCCCAAAGGGCAAGTACGCACAGGTGCCTGAATAGGGTTTGTAATTACCCGGACATACTTAGTTTCATACAAGAGTTGTTATACAAATCATACATTAGTCTGAACAAAATGGTTACTGAAAAAGAATAAGTACAGCAATATAACGAATGTAACATGGATAGAACGAAAAATGACAGAAATGAAATAAGGGTTCAAGGATTATCAAATGCCTCATTCATCAATTGCCTTTATGAAGGAAAAAATGGAGACTACTTTTTTTTGAAATTCATTAATTAATGTAAAGACATTTGAGTGACAGTAATTGAAAAAATAAACCAAAAGAGTGAAAATGTGGCGCACACTTCAATATGAGAGAGGAAATAAACAGGAATGAAGCAGTATTTTCATCAGGAACACACAACTTTCCCAGGAAGTGATTGATATATATTTGAAATGGGTTATCGACCCCTATCCATTCCCATCCGAATAATCTTTCACTCAGGAATATGTAAAATCACATATTTCTTAAATTGTTCCATAAGTTTCTCAGTCCTCAGAGTGGAAAATGTTTATAAAAAAATGCTAAAACACCAAACACAGATACAGATCTCTAATCAAACCAAAGCAAAATTTGAGTACAACAGTATTGAATCGAAGATTCTAGATTTAGTATATACTAAATTGACTATTTTTGGCAAATTTAAAGTGGAATTAAAAAAACATATATTAAAATAATGAATGAGAAGCATACATTAATACGAAGCTCTACAATATCTAAAGCACCTATGTACTTTATAAAGTATTAACGTATCCCATATTAATTTTCAAATCGGAAAATAATGTTTTCAAATTTTCTATTTCGACTATATCTATTACTGATTATCGATCCATTGATAAAAATATGGCATTCCGTCGTAATACCAACCAATAGTCTATGAATGCTTCTTTTTGAAATTCACACTTCTCAACATCAAGTTGATCGAGTTGAACAGTAGTATTCATGGAATAATATACAGACATTTTTTTTTTCTGGCTAGTGTATCTTACACACTCACACTGCAATAACTTTTAAAGATACGCAATTAAATCAATGGTTAGTTGAATAATAATTTTATAGAAGTTCAATAAACAGAAAATTTATTCTTCATAAAAAACAATTAGAAGTACCACAAATTATACATTTCATCCATAATCATAATAAAGGCTTGTTTATAAGGCTATACAGCCGGTGCTCAAACACAAGGTATATATATACATGGTTAATGGAACTGAGGAGAGCTGATGACAAACAAAATCCATTAAGAGTAATGTCCCTGTTGTCCAGATAGGAGGAGATAAATAGAAAATATATCTAGATGGCACTGGTATTTATAGCTCTTAGTCAACACTGCACAATCAATTTCATTTTATCACTATCCACCTAATCAATAAAGTATATGAAAACAAAATATTAAAAATTGTTATTTCAGTATATTCCTAACAAAAGAATGAAAAATCTTAATGGATTGCTTTCTTGAAATCAATATAATAAATAATATTTTATTTATTTATTACTTCCTGATTACACCTGAAATATTAGATACACACATTGATATTTTTATTATCCTTTTGTTGACATAGTTAGTTTTATTATAAATATTTTATTTAAGCAGTAAAGCCAGGACAAATATTTTTTTTTGAATTTAAGATATCAGTAAAATTTATTAACTAAACTGTGTATTGACTTGATTTGAGATATCTTCAAGTTATTTTGACGATGAAAAAAAAAAACACAATAAATAATAGGATCGCAGACAATTGTTCATTGTTATGAAATTAATTATAAAATCAGTTTCCACTGGTTTCAAATAACAGTGACGCGGCTGAGAGAGAAGCACTGGGATCTCCTGGAGTCCTGCATTCGCTTATCACATCGGGGGATAAGGCATGACTCAGAGTCCCCTGGGTGAATGTAAATATTGTACATAGGTGTGAATGTGATTTATTTACTTTAATTTCATTTAGCTTTTATCTATTATTTCATTTTTTTATAGCACAGGCATATCAACTTATTTTATTTTTTTAGATTTCTTTTTCTTTATTATTGAAATATTAATTGTATTTATTTTGTATTTTTTTTTAAAGTTTTGTATTTTTATTTTGTATATTTGTACTTAAGTTTTGTATTTTTTGTTTATTTTGTACATATTGTGTTAATGAATCATGTAGCCTTAATGTTAATGCCCTTTAATGTGGCAGAATGTATTAATATTCAATAAAGAAAGTATTCCCATAAAAAATTATAAAATGTTACTAGTAACATCATTTTTAGCAAAATATTTGTTGTTAGCATACCTTATTATACATTTTATTGTTAGCATTTTGAAATTTACTATTTTTATCATAGGTCAATTGCGAAATGAAAATTTCCAACGAATTGTTATATATAAAAACAAACGTTATTGGAGAAAATCAATGAAACATGTAAGGAACAAATTTATTTATTTTTTTTAAAGTTCATTGAATAATAATATAATCTGCATCAGGAACAAATTTATAACTGATGACAAGCAGAAAATACAGTAAAATAGCTTCTATAAAAAAAAAAAAAAATTGTATATACAAAAATGCATTAAAAGTGCATACTTTATAAGTTAGCCGTCGTTCATTATGAAACTTCCGAAAACAGTTTGGAATAACGAAAGAGTTGAATATGCAAACAGTGTTATACTGACTTAATGGACAGATTTATTTAAATGGAAAATCCCTTATTCATAAGGAACCTTAGGCAATATTCGTTCCACCTCAATGGGGA